GATTAGGCAGAAAGAGGCAAAGCAAGTTATAAGAGCTTCCAAATCACACGCAGAAGAGAAAATAGCACAGTCAGTAAAAAAGGGGACAAAACATTTCTTAGATACATAAATGATAAAAGGAAAGCAAAACAAGGATTAGTTAGATTAAAAACAAAAGAAGGAAGGTATGTAGAAGAGGATAACGGTCTAGCTGACTGCCTCAATTAATATTTCTGTCCAGTATTTACAGATGAAAAGGAAGGAAAGGGACCTCAGTTAGGAAAAAGGACAAATTAGTCATTTATTACATGTGAGTTTGCAGAGGAAGAGGTTCTATTTCAACTATTAAAAGTAAAGACAAATAAGTCAATGGGACCTGATGGAATACACCCAAAGTTATTAAAAGAGCTTAGTGGTGTATTAGCAAAGCCATTAACAGATTTATTTAACCAATCATTGTTAACAGGAGTAGTCCCAGAAGATTGGAAGTTAGCGAATGTTGTGCCCATTCACAAGAAAGGTAGTAGGGAGGAGACGGGCAACTATAGGCCAGTAAGTCTTACTTTACTAGTGGGGAAAGTAATGGAAACCATGTTAAAGGATAGGATTGTTGAACATCTAAAAACATTTTTGATTGGGTAACTAAAATAATAGACCAGGGTGGTGCAGTAGACATTGCTTACCTAGATTTCAGTAAGGCTTTTGACACTGTTGCACATAGAAGGCTTATCAATAAATTGCAATCTTTAAGTTTGGATTCCAATATTGTTAAATGGGGAAGGCAGTGGCTGAGTGACAGGCAACAGAGGGTTGTAGTCAATGGAGTATTTTCAAAGCTTGGGCTTGTCACCAGTGGGGTACCTCAGGGATCTGTACTTGGACCCATTCTCTGTAATATTTTTATTAATGATATTGCAGAAGGTCTTGATGGTAAGGTATGTATTTTTGCTGATGATACTAAGATATGTAACAGGGTTGATGTTCCAGGAGGGATAAGCCAAATAGCAAATGATTTAGATAAACTAGAAAAATGGTCAGAGTTGTGGCAACTGATATTTAATGTGGATAAGTGCAAGATAATGCATCTTGGATGTAAAAACCCAAGGGCAGAGTACAGAATATTTGATAGAGTCCTAACCTCGACATCTGAGGAAAGAGATTTAGGGGTGATTATTTCTGATGACTTAAAGGTAGGCAAACAATGTAATAGAGCAGCAGGAATTGCTAGCAGAATGCTTGGTTGTATAGGGAGAGGTGTGGCGAAAGGGACCTTGCCACTAGTTTTTGGAGGGGACTGACTGCCAGCCTCATGCCTTGGGACTATGGCCCCTGGGAATGGGGCTTATGAACTTTTAAAAGCCATGCTTGCAGTTGGTCACAAAGGGACTTCCAACTAACGTTTGACCCACTGGGCCAATTTGCATGATTCTGACGTTTGTATTTGGAGTATGCTGATTCTGAAAATGTTTTAAAGTTTAATGTGAATGTGATGTATACTTTTGGAGTTATGAATATTGTGTAAATCTGTGTATTTTCCTGCCTGTGATAATTACGTTAGCCCATTGTGTTCAATAATTATATCACAGGCAGAGGGGAGGATTTTGAGTGGGAGTGTCTGAGTGTATTGTACGTATTGATTGGTTGTACTTCAAAACCATGTGGGCGGTACTATGTTTGTAGATAAAAGCAGACTGTTCGAATAAAAGTTCAGTTCTACTTCACCCTCAATTTGGAGTGGCATCTCTTATTGGATGAATCTGCTACAAGGGATTGCTATGCTTGTCATACTCCCTTGCTAAATCACTACTAAGCTCTTGTAAGAGCTTGTTCCTGCCTTGCTCTCTGGAGGAGTCTACGGTGGTTATGGTGTCAGATGGAGTGCTTGGAGCCGTTACAAGAGGTATTAGCAGTAGAAAGAGGGAAGTGCTCATGCCATTGTACAGAACACTGGTGAGACCTTACTTGGAGTATTGTATGCAGTACTGGAGACCATATCTTCAGTAGGATATTGATACTTTAGAGAGGGTTTAGAGAAGGGCTACTAACCTGGTTCATGGATTGCAGGATAAAACTTACCAGGAAAGGTTAAAGGAACTTAACATGTATAGCTTGGAGGAAAGACGAGACAGGGGGGATATGATAGAAACATTTAAATACATACCAACACAGTAAAGGTAGAGACCATATTCAAAAGAAGAAAAACTACCACAACAAGAGGGGCAAAGGTTTAAAAATAATATCAAGAAGTATTACTTTACTGAGAGGGTAGTGGATGCATGGAATAGCCTTCCATCTGAAGTGGTAGAGGTGAACACAATAAAGGAGTTTAAGCATGCATGGGATAGGCATAAGGCCATCCTAACTATGAGATAAGGCAAGGGACTAATGAAAGTATTTAGACAATTGGGCAGACTAGAGGGGCCGAATGGTTCTTATCTGCCATCACATTCTATGTTTCTATATTTTACAGTGGACTGTGCTCTTTTTGGTCCATCTAACTTGTCTTCCTGAAATTTTTATGGAGAACTACATTCTGATGAGCCAAACCAGCAAATGCAGGAAATCCTGCCATCCCAAAATAATTTATTGATAATAGCATACATGTCTATTTAAGCATTCTTTTATTTTTATTTTGTTTTAGAATAAAAGACAACAGTATAATATCCAGGCATAGAGATATAAGGGAACAAGCAGCTGCTGTCAGATTCTCAGTTTAACAACTCAGTGAGAAACATAAAAAATTATCACTACTAGCAAGGTAAAGAATATAAGAAAATAAAAAGATGCTAGAAAGAGAGAAACAGCTGATTTGCAAACAGGGAAATAAGCAACTTGGAGAATATGTTCTGTACATGTTTTTGTTAATAGGTAATCAAAAGTTGAGCATTCAGGGTTTTTCTGCAGCTAGGCATTTCACATGTTAAGGTACAATTCTGCGTTGTCATGTAAAGTTGCAGTTGTCTGCTCCATGGAATGTTTATGAAATGCAGGAATGATGGTGGTATAATACCTGTGCAGGATTTTCTGTTTCAAATGTTTTTATTGGGTTTTTCAAATATATATTCATACAATATTATTGTATGGGATGGGAGGTTTTCCCTCTGGCAAATAATAATACACATATTGATAAAAAAAAATAATAATAATAATAATGAGTCAATAGAATTATTAATAATTTAAAAAAACCAAACAAAAATATATTTAATAATAAATATAAAATAAAATGGGGAAATAATACAGAATAAATAATTTAAACAATAATAATAATAATAATAATAATAATAATAATAATAATAAATAAAGAAAAATAAATTAAACAATACAATTTTTTATATATACAATCATCCATAAAAAGTTACATATTTTTAGTTATTTAATATATCCTTTTTACAAAATGAAAAAAGTTATTACAATATTAACAAAAACTATTTACATAATTTGGTCAGATGGGTGTCATATTGTTAAATTATATTTACTTTCTGTGTCATGCATATTCTAGTAGCTGTACAATGCACAGTATCAATTTAAAAAATAATTTAAGTATGTTGTAATGAGTGTCTGAACTATTAAAAAGTGTAATCCATGGGTTTGGAGTCAGGAAGTTACCAAATCCTAGTTAAGAACTGCCACCATGTCTATTGATTGTGTTACACCTACCATCTAATACCCACTGCTCAAGGAATCATATATAATCACAGAGATCCAGGTACCAGTAAACTATTGTGTTGTGACAATTTCCATGGCATGTTAACTTCAGAATTAAATCTTAACAATTCACAGAATTTCCAACTGTTTCTTAAATCTTACATATTACTGCAGAATCCCACCACAGACTCACTGGCTGGAAATCCCTATGAATTTTATCTCACCCTCTGTTATCTCCTTTAGATTCTAAACTCAAAAAAAATTTGAATTAAAGTGTTTTAAATTTAGAATTTCATAGGCACTCTCCACTGCTATTAGAGGTTTTTGGAATATGATTTTTGTGCAACAGGCACTAAACTCAATCATCAAAACTAAACACAAAGCTAGATTAAATGCAAGGATGTATATCAAGTTCTGGCAGTAGATGCTATCATAGCAGTTTGTCAAGATGATAGGTTCAAATAGTTCTACTGAGAGATTTTCTTAGCAAAGAAACTCAAACAGAGGTAGAGAACAGAACTGGATCTAACAATAGTCACAGTATTTTTCACCCCAAAGATGTTCAATGTAAAGTCTCTCTCGTCTATTTGTAAATAATGGCGTTTTCCAACTCCATAAAAGAAGAGACTTCAAAGGATTTGCTTGAGTGAGTTTTATTGCTATTTGGAAGCCATTTGAAGAACTGAGTGTACACATGGGAAAGATAAATATATTTCTGAAGTGAAATCTTATATTCACCTTTTATACACACTTCCAAATGCATTAGACTGAATGGGTTACTAGGCTACATAAAACAAACCTCTACGTGCATATTATTTACTAACTATTTTAAAGTTTTTCAAGGTTATTCACTAAGGTGTTAATTTAAAAAGTTAATTTAAAAAATTAGGCCAAATTGTCAATTCTGTTTTCGTTTTGGCCTTAAGTATGAAATTCACTTTAAATTTCCAGGAATTTAGTGAATAACCATGCAGGTTAGCAATATGCAGTATTTTTTTAAATTATTTTTTTGTTTACTGTTTGGAGAAAGAAAATCTTTTTTTTTTTTTTTAGGAAGTGTTGCCTTCAGTAACAAGAAACAAAAAGTTAATATTGCCAGGTCTGGATCACTGAATCTAGTGTGAAGTTAGGTTTATTTTTATTTTTTTAATTAACAATCTTTATTTAGTTTTTCCATTATGCACATAACAAATATCAAATCATTTCTTAAATAAAGAGTTTACACATATCTAATTGCACTATGGGATGGGCAGGCTGTATTGTAACAAGGCTGAGTGATACAAAAAATGGATACAAATGCAGAAAGATAAGTCCTGCGCTCACTCCCATCACTGGGCAGCAGCAAAGACTACAGTACACATCAGCTCCAATATATAGTAAAAAAACAAAGAAAAACAAGTTACCTGCGCTCTCTCCTTAATCCCTATGTATTTTTAAACAAATGGAGGTTGTGTACTGTAGTAACTAAAGGAGGTAACTAAAAAATCTCCATTTGTTTAAAAATACAGAGGGATTAAGGAGAGAGCGCAGGTAACTTGTTTTTCTTTGGTTTTTACCTCCTTGCACAAAGGCAGAGGTAGCGGTCCTGCTGCTGGGTTGTTGCCCTCCTACAGCCTCCTCCACGTCTCCTGATGTACTGGCCTGTCTCCTGGTAGCACCTCCATGCTCTGGACACTACACTGACAGACACAGCAAACCTTCTTGCCACAGCTCGCATTGATGTGCCATCCTGGATGAGCTGCACTACCTGAGCCACTTGTGTGGGTTGTAGACTCCGTCTCATGCTACCACTAGAGTGAAAGCACCGCCAGCATTCAAAAGTGACCAAAACATCAGCCAGGAAGCATAGGAACTGAGAAGTGGTCTGTGGTCACCACCTGCAGAACCACTCCTTTATTGAGGGTGTCTTGCTAATTGCCTATAATTTCCACCTGTTGTCTATCCCATTTGCACAACAGCATGTGAAATTGATTGTTACTCAGTGTTGCTTACTAAGTGGACAGTTTGATTTCACAGAAGTGTAATTGACTTGGGGTTACTTTATGTTGTTTCAGTGTTCCCTTTGTTTTTTGAGCAGTATATATATCATTGAGCAGTATATATGTTATAAATATGATCTAAGTACATATATACACTTTTACATACATACACATACAATGTCTAAGTGTATTTTAATATATATATATATATATATATATATATATATATATAACTATCAAAATACAGAGTAACATTATATTAATTAAATATATATATATATATATATATATATATATATATATATAGACATAAAGACAAGAAAGTCCTGGGCTGCACTCACGGTCTTTAGAATGAAAAAAATTGAAAAATGAAAGAGATCGACGTTTCGGTCCACGCAGGGATCTTCCTCAGGATCAAATGACATAAAATAACTTACAAATACAAGAATTAGGATTGTGAAGTGGAGTGGTCTTTAACTGCAATACACCCCTGTCCCACATGCAGCACAATTAGCAAGTTAAAAATATACTTATACTTCTTGCTGAATGGTATCTCAATTGTTGTTCAGCGTATAAAAGAAAAAAGCAAAAGTAATCATAGGACAGATCTGTTATATTAACTTGCACTTCTATGGATAGTGCTAAAAGTCACATGTACTTGTTGAATCAGCTGAATATTAAGAAGTTTATTACAACTATAAAACAGATATCAAAATTAAAAAGCAAGATATAATAGCAATTAAAATACAAATACAGGACAAATCACTGTTTAGTTAGCATGTCACAAACAGCTCATTGCTCATTGCTCATTGCTTAATCTGTATACCACATATCAAATGTGAAAATTAAAGCATATCACTAAGAATGGCTACAGAGCAAATAGCTGCTTACTAGAATTGTTGGTGAGTGCAACGGTATGTGTGCCCGTTTACTCACAGCCAGGCTTTCCCACACTGGGAGATGTCTCCTGTATTAAAAAGTTGAGGGAGGTCAGGTAGAGTTCCTCTTTATTGCCATTCGGGTGCCGTCCAGTTCAGCGTATAATTCAGCTGTACCGCTTTCAGAACGCCCGGCTTCTAGATAGGCTCCGCCCGCTTTATCAACGTGCTTCAGTGTTGTCTACTCGTTTCTCCGTTCACAGACGGCTTAGTCAGGACGTCAAAGTGCTCAGTCACTCCCCACTCTCGGAGAGTTTTTATACACGTTCTACTACTTATCTTCATTGCTTTTAGGTGCACCTAATTTGCATATGTATGAAATCCGGATCAGCAGACCTATTATTACACCATTAATGCCTGCTTCATCCATACATGGACATCATTAACTTGCAGCAGAAATGCACCTATTCTTCAACAAATCTATACAGAATATAAATGCAGTGATATTTAATACAATAATTTTAAAATTTCATTATGCAGTTTAAATCTAAAATGACAGCTGAATCATCATATATAGTACATGAAGGAAAATAAAAGAAAAGAGAGCATATGTTAGTATTGATTCAACACCATAAATATAATTTAACACCATAAATATAATTTAACTCTGGGGTTTTACAATGACACAGTAATAGTAACTTTTAAAGTGACATAGTGATAATGCCATAAAGTGAAACAAAGTAACATAGGGGCCATAGCTGCGAATACGAATATATTTATGTATATATATGAAACAACATACATTCTACCCTGTTATGGAGATAAAATCTTTAGTTTCTTCAGATATATTGATTTACTTATTATTTGGACAGGAACTACACAAGAAGCTCAACAGATGGTTAATGGCCTGAACATATTGGATAGTCCTATAAAATTTACATCTGAAATAAGTACAAATAAAGTACATTTTCTCGATTTACAAATTTGGGTTGAGAATGACAATATACAGTACTTATTGTACACTAAACCCACTGATCGGAATACTATCCTACATGCACAAAGTGCACATCCTGCACGACTCAAAGCGTCATTACCCAAAGCACAGTTCTTGAGAACTATTCGAAACAACTCTAATGAGCTAATAAGGGAAGAACAACTTAAACAAATGAAAATGAAATTTTTAAATCGAGGCTACAACAACAAACAACTGGATGTAGCATTACAACAGGCCAGAGAATTTACTCCAAGAAATGTCATACAGACACAAAATCGCTTAATTTGTCCAACAACTTATAATGATGCATCAGTTAAGTTATCAAACATCATTAAAAATAATTGGAATATGCTGGCCCAAGACTCCACACTTCCTTCAACGTTCAAACAGAAACCTTTAATATGTTACAAACGTAACAGGAATCTCCGTGATTTATTGGTAAAAACGGACCCAACACAAAGTTATGTGCGGGAAGGGAAGACACAGCATCGAGGCAGTGTCAGGTGTTTAGGTTGTGTGCCATGTAGCCATATGGTTCCGTCATGAACCTTTAACCACCCCCATACCAGTAAGAAGTTCCATATAAATCATACAATTACCTGCAAGACACCGTTTGTAATATATAAGCTTACCGTGTGATTTATCTTATATAGGTAAAACCGAGACACCTCTTTGTGAACGCATACGGGGACATCGATCTAATATTCGAATAGCCTATAGAGATGGGAATAGTGACAAACCAGTCGCAAAGCATTTTTTGGATAAGCAGCATCCACTGACATCCCTTAAATTTATAGCCATAGACCACATCCCGGAACCACGTAGTGGAGGAAACCGTGGCAAGATGCTCCTTAACAGAGAAACGTATTGGATATTTCTACTAGATACAGTCGCACCGAAAGGCCTCAATGAAATGATTACATATCATTCTTTTCTTTAATAAGAGTCCTGCTTGTATATAGTGTATGTATTGTTTTTAACTTTGAGTGGCGGAGTATAGTATAATATAATGTACTAAATATGTATATGTTAATCCTATGGTCTAAGTCATAGGTATTAAAGTAATAAGTAGTTTTACTGGTTCAATTGGATATAGTACTAGTCATTAGCCATGGAATTAAGGAGTTTAACAGTATTTGTTATTGGTATCTTATTTATAAGAGGCATTTTGACTCTAACTATCCATAGTTTTGAATTGGCATTATTTTGTCTTTTTGTTACTTTATTCTAACTTAAGATTTATCTATACTAATTATAATAGTAACGAATTGTTTAAGTTATACATCTGTCGCTCTTTTTGTATGAAATATGCTAGTACAGGAGATGCATATTGTATATAATTTTGATTGAATTACGGAAGGCTACTTACATGAATCACAGTCACTACTATATATTTTATCTGGCACATATAATCCCAATTTCAAAGAATTTTTACATTCTTTAAAAATTAAACAATAATTATATATATTTTTAAAAATTAATTAAATATTAATTATATATTTTTAGTGTATAAGTAGTATATTGCACTAATAAGACAGCTAATTACATAGTGTTTTCTACATACATGGTTTTTTACACTAATTGTATTTCACTTTAATATGGGGATCTTTTTTTACTCCTCATTTTTATATATAAGCTTTTTTTCACTAAATTGAACTATTTTCAATTACAGAGTTAATTACTCTGTTATTAGCCTTCCTTATTTTACCTCCATGTATGGAAGATTGTGATACTCATTATGTACATTGTGCTTCTTGTTCAGCATGTTATATACAATTTGTCATTTTAAAAATAATCTCTTTATTGTTGTCTATTTTCTACTATTACACTTGGTGTTTATTCACAACTCGGTTCTCCTTTATATTGGTGTTTTAGACGGTATCCACGGTGATGCTTACAGCGTTACCTTGGTGACGACATACTGTGACGTCATCGCGCATAGTTTGCGGGTCAACGTGAGGGCGCGGTTATTCCACGCATGCGCGATGGCGTGAGGAGAACGCTGAGGTTTTTAGTCTTTACACCTGGGGTAAGTCACTTTTCTATGATTATTGCTGCTATATATTAAATGTATTTGTAAGTTATCTTATGTCATTTGATCCTGAGGAAGGTCCCTGCGTGGACCGAAACATTGATCTTTTTCATTTTATGGAATAAACACATTTTTTTCATTCTAAAGACCGTGAGTGCAGCCCAGGACTTTCTTGTCTTTATGTCAATTTACTGCCCCAAGGGGACTGGTACCCGGCAAGTATTATTATTATTAATGCTTTAATGCAGATATGCTGTGAGCGTGAGTGCATGTATCTATACATTTTTTTAGCAATACCATATTTGATATTGGCAACATCCTAGTGTATATTAGGTAAAATCTTTTTTGGAAAAGTTCTCTTTAGAATATTAGTTTTTATGTATTTATAATCTGTTTGTGCAATATATATTTAGTATGTTTTAGCACTGTAACACTTTTGCACTTGTTTGCACTTTATACATGTTATTTTACACTTGTTCAATCACTCTCGAATTGTGGATACATTTATTTATATATTGCACACTCTATGAGGTAGTATCTGGCAGATTAACCTCAGCAATTAACGGCATTTTAATGCACACTGCACTTTTATATGCAATGGCACTTAGCCAGGTCACTATAATACACTATATCTATATTCTTAATGAACTAACTCTTCCTTTTCTATATGTGG